CATCATCATCCTTAGCGGTTTGGGCTCAAGATTTTTTTGGTCAATCTCTCGCTTGCTCGAGGGGGTTGGTGACTTAATCAGCAGGCTTACATTCATATCCCGTGCCAGGCAGTCCTGGCCCGGCACGTCCGTCGCGCTCGCAATGGCTCGCAAGAAGGCGCTCATCGGCGAGTTCGTGGGTACCTTCATCCTGATGTACACCGTCGGCTGCAACGTCCTCAGCGGCACGGCGGCGGCTGGCAGCTCGATCGCCTTCTCACTCATGGTCGGCATCTACGCCCTGGGGAAGGTCTCTGGAGCTAACTTTAATCCCGCGGTGTCCTTCGCCCTCGGCCTCGTTGACAAGCTGCCCTGGGTTGATGTTGCTGCCTACTCGGTGGTGCAGATCTTGGCTGGCGCGCTGGCTGGCATTAGCGCCCACGGCACCTTCCCGAACCACAAGTATGAACTCGAACTCGGGCCTGCGTCTGGCTTCGAGTGGTGGCAGGCGGGCGTGTGTGAGCTCTTGTACACGTTCATGCTCTGCTTCGCTGTCCTCAACACGGCCTGCTCCGCGGCGAACGCGAACGGACAGTTCTATGGCCTCTCGATTGGCCTCGTGATCATCGCGGGCGCCTTCGGGGCGGGTGCCGTCTCCGGTGGATGCTTCAACCCCGCCGTGGCGTTCGGTGTCTACATGGGCGGGGAATTTGTCCCCGAAAGCCTGAGCAACGTTCCCGTGTACGCCGCCTTCGAGCTCATCGGCGCTGCGCTCGCAGCGTTTCTCTTCAAGCAGGTGCGGCCCGATGCTTTCGAGAACGGGGAGGCCGGAGCTGAGATGAAGGCGAAGGTGATATCAGAGATTCTCGGAACCTACATGCTTGTGCTCACGGTCGGCCTCAACGTCTTGGCGGCCTCTCCCGCCGCGCCTTTCTCCATCGCGGCGTCGCTCATGGTCATGGTCTTCTCTCTCGGTGACGTGTCGGGGGCGCACTTCAACCCGGCTGTGACCGTCTCGATCCTGGCGATCGGGAAGATCAAGGGCAAGGAGGCGGTCGTCTACATGGCCGTCCAGGTGCTCGCCGCGCTCGTCGCGGGCCTCACCTACTCGATGATCTACAACGGGAAGGGTTTCACCCTCGGCCCCAACGACCCCTTCGGCCTGCCCGAGGTGGCCGTGGCCGAGGCTTTCTTCACGTTCGTTCTCTGTTTCGTCGTGATCAGCGTCGCCTGCTCGCCCAGTGCGGAGGGCAAGCATTACTCGCAGGTATACGGGCTCGCCATTGGGGCATGCATCGTCGTGGGCGGTTTCGCGATCGGCAGCATCTCAGGCGCCAGCCTGAACCCTGCCGTGTCCATTGCAACTTTTGCGATTGGTGGGTTCCATTTCGGATTCACCTCAACTCTTTACACCGTTTTTGAGCTGGCTGGCGCGGGCGTCGCCGCGCTCATATACTTCCAGACGCACGAGGATGTGGAGTGTGGGCCGGCGGGGAACTCTGACTCGGACGAGGAGGAGGAGTCAGACTTTGAGAAGCCGGCGTGAGACGGTGCAGCAGTAAGCTGGTTGTGCAGGTCTCCGTTGTTCTTGCTCGTGTTGCCTCTGTGTTCTCCGAATGGGCACACACACACATTGTTCCGCGCGCGCTGCCGCGGACAGTTTTCTTTACACAGGCAAGTTGCCGCTGTCTCACGCACTCACACGGAACCTTTGAGTGCTGGACACATGGATTTAAGTTTTCGAGCAACTTTTGAGTGCTGCGCATATTGATTTGAGTTGTCGAGTAGAAAAATCATCATCATTATCGTCACCATTCTCATCATCGTCATCATCACCAGCATCATCATCATCGTCTTCATTATCAGCATCATCATCGTCGTCATCGTGATCATCATCATCCTCATCCTCCTCATATTCTTCATCATCATCAATTTTGTCGCCAACCTCACCATCATAAGCAGCATCTACATCGTAATCGTCAGCGTGGGCATCCTCAATATCTTCATCATCAAATCATCAACATCATCATCAACACTACCATCCTCATCGGGACCAAAATCACCTTTGTTTTTTTCCAGACCGCCCGGCAACGCCCTCGGAAGAGGAAGGATGCCGATGAGGAGGAGGGCAGGATGGAGGTAGCGGGCGAGGCGGAAGAGGAGCGGCAGGCGGTGGAGGAGAAGGACGAGGATGAGGAGGACGAGGGCGGAAGGGATGCGCGAGGGGCTTCACACAGAGGCTCCTTGAGGGCTCTGGGGCAGAACAAGAATGATGAATGCCTCGGCTGCTCGAGGGCAGACCTGGAATTTGACTTCGAGATAACATGGGTGCACGTGCGCACAGCACAGCTTTCCATGATTTGCGCATGCGCAGGTCTCGTATCTCTCATGAGCTGCGCGTGCGCACCCCTGGTATTTCAGTACCCGATGGCCCACGGCAGAACACGGCAGAATCCACCACCTTGTCGCTTCAAAAACGCCTGGTGCCAAACCACAGCGCCTGAGGGGGCGCCCCGTGCCGAAAGCACGAGCGCCAAACGCTCGTTTCTGGGCCTCTTGAGGCCAGCAGGATTCCTTCCGGTTGCCTCTCGGGGGCGTCTTGGGATTTGCGTGGTTTCTTTCGGTTTTGGTCGGGGGTATGGTTCTGGGCGCCTGCAGGGGGATAGGGAGGATGAGGATGTGAATGTGAGCTGACGATGATTAAGGCAGTGACTACGATGACCTTGATGAGGACATCGGTGACGATGACGACGATGACGATTAGAATGTTAACGATGTCGATGCTGATGATTTTGATAATGTTGGCAAATGAGGATGCTGGTGATGATGATGGTTACGGCGATGCGGATGATGATGATTATGATTATGATGATGATGATGCTGATGATGATGATGATTATTATTATGATGGTGGTGATGCTGATGATGATTATTACGGCGATGCGGATGCTGGTTATGGTAACAAGACTCATGGCCAAATTGTTGATGATTGTGGCGATGGCGATGGCGATGGCGATGACGATGGCGATTGTAGTGGAGGTGGCGGCGATGATGAGAATAGTGGCGGTTGCGATGGTGGCAATGAAAAAGGAGACGGAGGAGGCACATAATTAAGGAGGACGGGGAATGAATATTGTAAACACGGACAAGACGAAGAGGGACGACCGTAAGGAACAGAATGAGGCTCGCATGAGGGAAGGGCAGGACGAGGGAGGACGCGCAAGAGGAGTAGGACAGTGAGGAAGAGATCACGAGGAAGGAGGCGAGGAGGCGAGGAAACACACATCGCTGTCGCCATCGTCATCATCACTGCCATCGCCGACGTCGTCATCATCCGCCCCACTATCACCATCTATATCGTCATCTGCACGGATCGGTGCACAGGCGTTGTGGACTTGTTCCATTGTGATTCAGGCCGTCCTAGATTACATGCGACTCGGGGAAATGATGGCGGTGGTCGTGATACTTTTGATGGCAGTGGCGACGATGGTTCAACTTTCCACGCGCTACTGCCTAAGCGCTGGCTGGTCTTGGGTGCATCTTGCGGGTCTCCTTGGGCCTCTTGGGGGCTTTTGAGGGCTTCTCGGGGGCCTCGTTGGCCGTCTCAGGGCATTCCTGGCAAGTAGGAAGCCGATATTGGGGGTCCTTCTGGGCTGACTTGGGGCCCTCTTGGGGTGCGCCAGGTCCGTCTTGGAGGCCTCTTGGGGTGCGCCAGGTCCATCTTGGACGTCTTGGATGCCTCTTGGCCGTCCTGGGGCCCTCTTGGGGCCGTCTTGGGGGCCTCTTCGGCCGTTCTGAGGCCATCTTGGAGGCCACTTGGGCCGTCTTGGTGGGCTCCTGGCCCGTCTGACGCCGTCGGAAGCGGTCTCGACGGCCTCTCTGGGCCGACTTGGGGCCTTCTTCGGGTGCTCTTGGGCCGTCTTGGAGGCCATCTTGGGCGTCTTGGAGGCCTCTTGGCCCGTCTTGGGGCCCTCTTGGGGCCGTCTTGGGGGCCTCTTCGGCCGTTCTGGGCCATCTTGGAGGCCACTTGGGCCGTCTTGGTGGGCTCCTGGCCCGTCTGACGCCGTCGGAAGCGGTCTCGACGGCCTCTCTGGGCCGACTTGGGGCCTTCTTCGGGTGCTCTTGGGCCGTCTTGGAGGCCATCTTGGGCGTCTTGGAGGCCTCTTGGCCCGTCTTGGGGCCCTCTTGGGGCCGTCTTGGGGGCCTCTTCGGCCGTTCTGGGGCCATCTTGGAGGCCACTTGGGCCGTCCTGGGCTGTCGGATGGCCGGCAAGAAGCACATGCCCACATCCTTTAAACACCAAAGGCGAGCCGATGATGTTGGCTTCTTCGGGCCCTCCTGGAGGACGCCTTGCGGGCGTCTTGGAGGCCTCTTGGGCCGTCCTAGGCCATCTTGGAGGCTTTTGAACGGACTCAGAGACATCGTTGAACCATCTTGGGCCGTCTTGGTGGCTTCTTACCATCTTGGGCCATCTTGGGCCAATGTGGCCATCTTAGAAGCCATCTTGAGCCGTCTTGGATTTGTTGTAGAAGTTGTGCTCGTTTGGGGTTCTTTCGGGTGGCCGGCGGGACGGGCTGAAGCCCCAGTGCGAGTTTCTGGGGAACAGAACCCACAACGAATCTTAAGAGGTCTAGCGCGCCAGGCACCCATGTGACAAATCAGCAGGGTGTGTCGGATCTAACGGCCTTCGGCCCATCCCGCCAGCAGATGACGGACAGCACGCGTAGCGTCGCGATCCGATAGGCGGGAAAAGTAACAAGGGGGGGGGCGGGGGGTAGGCAGCCCGGGCGTCAGATGACGGAAAGCTCGCGTAGCGTCGCGGTCCCGCGCGATCCGGTAGTCGGGAGAAATCGCAAGGGGGGGGTGGGTGGGTAGGCAGCCCCGCGCCCAGATGACGGAAAGTTCGCGTAGCGTCGCGATCCGTTCGCCGGGAGAAATAAGGAGGGGGGGGGTTAGGCAGCCGCGGGCCCAGATAACAGAAAGCATGCGTAGCGTGCGATCCGTTAGTCGGAAGGAGTGTAACTAGTGGGAGTTCGAGGGGGGTGGCATCCCGTCCCCCAGGGATCTAGCCTTTAACATGGAAAGGCGGGTGCTTGAGCTAACTCAGGAAACCGTTAACAGGGAAATTGCACGGAACTCCTTGTTAACGGGTGCCCGAGCGGGGTCAGGACCTCGTTAACATGGAATTCCATGGACATTCCCTGTCAACGGGTACCTGAACGGTGTCAGGTGCCTGTTAACATGGAATTCCTTGTTAACGGCTGCGTAAGCTCCGCGCAAGCTCGCGTAAGCTCCGCGTAAGCTCCGCGTAAGCTCCGTGTAAGCTCTGCGTGAGCGCGTAAGCTCCTCGCCAGCTTAAGGTACCAGACGGCGTAAGAGAGGCCCTGACGGGCCCGAGGACGGCCCAATAGCGATCCAAGATAGCCGAATATGGCCTCAGTACAGCCCAAGAGGCCTCCAAGACACCCCAAGCGGCCCCCGAGAGGGCCCCCAAAAGTGCCGGACGACGCAAAAGCCGTGTTGGTTTTAGGTTTGTGAAGGTTTCCAGCTTCTCGCCTTTTCTGGCAAGAACGGCCCGATACAGCTCCAGGGCCCCCCGAGACTGTGCCATGACGGCCCGAGAAGCTCCCAAGAGTGCCTGAGGACGGCTCAAAAGGGCCCCAAGACGGCCTAAGAGAGCCACAAGACGGCCCAAGGAGGGTCTGTGAAAGGCCCAGGATGTTCCCAAGAGACAGTATGTCGTTGACATCATCATCATCATCATCATCATCATCAGCATCAGCATCATCATCATCATCATCATCATCATCATCATCATCATCATCATCATCATCATCATCATCATTATCATTATCATTATCATCATCATCATCATCATCATCATCATCATCATCATCATCATCATCATCATCAACAGTATTGTCAGAATCTTCATTCGTGTTTGACCGCACTCTGGTGCCTTCCCTGCCCTAGTTCCTCCTGAAGAGGCCTCCTGCGGCTTCTAGATAGCCCTAGGCCCTAGAGGGCGCCCAATATGCCACCAAGATGCCCCAATCGGGCCTCAAGACGGGGAGACAGAGAGGAAGAACGGGCAAGCCAGCGACATCTCGCGCTCTGAAAGTACATGCGCTCTCCGTCCCCGTGCCAAGCAGGTAACGGAAAGAGCGAGGTACGAAGTGGTGACGTTCTGGCGGGGCGAAGCCCTCTTAGGGAGGGGCCCATGGAGAGGGGCGAGGGGCGCGCACCGCGGGTCCAATGGCCCGTTTCCATCGTATCATGTTCGAGTGGAGCGGCTCATGGGCGGCTCCCATGGCCTGTTTCTCCGTTTTTTTTTCTTGATGAACTGGCCAGAGGGCCCCACAGGACGGCCCAAGAGGGCCCCAAAACGGCTTCAGGGGGCCCCAAGGCGGCCCCAAGAGAGCTTCAGATGACCTCCAGACGGGCCCAGGAGAGCGACTTGTCCGGGCCCTTAAATCTGTGCGGTGGAGGGCGTTCTGTGTTTTCGTATCGTTGATTGCTATTCTGGAGGAGGCCGTAGACTTGCCGGCGCTCCTGGCTGACGTTGTCGCGCGCAATCGGCACGTGTCCGGCATGGCCCTGGTGGTGCAGGAGGGCGTCGATGTGGAGGCGCCCTTGGACGGTGATCCAGCCGCCATGTGTTTGGCAGCCGCGGGGTTAGACCATCCGGCACCTGCAGTTGTGGCCGCTCTGAATGGTGCCTTCTACGAGGGCGAGGGGCTGGACACAGACCTTGTGCTCCAGGGCCGACGTCTCCTCGTCGCAGGGAGGAGTGAG